CCCCCCCCCCCCCCCCACCGAACATGCGTAAATCACATTTCTGTCCCTGGCACATTACATTCACAGGTAGATCTGGCACTCACCATCGACGGAGGCCTGCTGTTCGGTGTAATCTGGAACAAAGGAAAAGAAACAAGAGCTATAAGCCACTACATATCATGTAAGTACACATATTTTCCCCACAGTGCGAGCTTGTAACCGCGCGGCGGGGTGCAGCCGTGCAGCGATCGCAGCGCCACCATAGCGGGCGGCTGAGGCTGTTGTTGAGTTGTTTTGTTTCTGTGTTGATGAGACGTGAGACGCAGTTGACGGTCCTGGTCCGCGGTGAATGAAAGTAGTGGCACTTTAACAAGTTTTAAAATCGGTAAGTGTTTAATGTTTCTTTTGTTACATGTTTTCTTTTAGAATTATGTGTCAGTTGCGACCAATTCGTTTATGTGATAGCTCTTGAAAGGGCAGTCGGCTGACTGTTGCAACGCAGGCTGCGCGGTGCGGTAGGGTTAGAATCGACCGCGACTGTCGCATTCAACAGTTGTGTTCGGAACAGTGAAAAAAGGGTTCTGTGATTTCACCATTTCATTTGATTCAAATCGTTCATTTTCATTCATTGGTAAAAGTGTAAATGAATTTCGGTCGGTCTCTCGGTTGAGCTCTTATTAGTATGCCCTGGATCCTGTACCTTACATTGATTTGAGCATGGCACAAAGTTGTTCTATGACTTTCTCGGTTCTTCCATTTACTTGACGTGTCTCATGTGACTTTCAGACTTTTTCTAATAAGCCATCGAGAAGGCTACTAAAAATGAGAATTAGTCTCCATGTATAAATAGTGTCCGCAACATTTGGGCAGATCTTGTCAATCTAGTTTTATAGCGTGGGCATTACGGAACAAAAGCTGATAACAGTGCTGCTCTTGAAAAACAACAAATACCGAAAGTAATTTAACTAGTACATCTATATTTCTCCTATTATTTGATTTTTGATATGAATTGTAGCTAATCACTTTTGCAAAACGTCCCTTACCCCCTTTTCCCTTCCCCCTTTGTATATGTCGCCAATAATAATTCAAATTTCTACCCCCCTCCCCTCCGCCGAATAGAAAACCTTACAAACATAACAAAGATTTACAGGCCTTAGAAAAAATGCAACCCCAAAATGTCCAAAAGACCAACTTTTTGCCCCCCCCCCCCTGGTATTTTTGTTCTTCAAGAACCGTGCGGGGTGACATGGTTCGTTAGCTATGGACAACAGCCCTTCCCGTTGCGACCTCTTGCGTGGAGGAAACGGGGAAGTCCAAGTTCGATCCTCTGAGCCCACGTGTTCACGCGCCACCTCACCCCTCCCCCGTTCTCTACGCCGCTACCTGTTGATCACGGTGTAGAGAGATACGGTGGGGACACTGGGCCGCTCCGGGCCTACCT